CAGAAAGAGTTGTTTGGGCAGCAGGGTGCAAACACAGTTCTGCATAATGGAAAGTGTGACTGGATGAATATTAAGGTGCTTGGTTTGGCTAACCACGCAAAAATTTCCACTGATTATCTAAACCAATTTTGCTCAGCAAAATTGAACCGGATACATTGCCAAGATAGACATTACTAAGAGATTTCCAGCACTTCTGCTTCATATCCTAGCTAGAATTAGGAAGAGATGCAAGGAAAGGAGAGCAATGAACATTTGAAAATGAGGTTCAGTCCTAAGAATCTTGCAAGTACTTCGTATACGGATTCTTGCCGAGTGCTGTATACATAGAGACAAAGAGAAGTCTTTCTAAAGGTACTGAATGCATCTCATTCAGGCCAATATTGAGGATGTTGAAATTGGGACCCAGAGTAAATGTAGGGAGGAGTACAGGTGTCGTGCTAAAGGCCTGCCTTGGCATGAGAAAAAGCACAGCAGGTGGAATCGCTTTATTTCCTTGAAGGGCTGGGGGCTAGTGCTTCTGCTGCAAAGCTTCACTGGCTGACCTGCCTCCCCTAGCTTTGGACTGCAAGAACAGTCAATTTTAAGTAAAAACCAGTTATTCTGGCCTGTCAAAATCAAGTTTGCTATTGTATGCTGAAGGTAAGATTTCAGTGTAGTTCACTAAGAGTGAGCGGCTAACCAGTGGTTCCCTACCTGCTTGCTACCTTACCATGCTGGAAATAAGCCTTCTGTGCTGGTTGGGGATGCTGACGGAAGATAGGTTTTACATCACTGGTCTTTAAGATTGAGATTTTGAATTGGAGTAAATACCCACATTTCCTGGTTCTAATCTGACTCGCATCTATACCTGATGGGAAGCAGAACAGTTTTTCTCTTGAGACTATGAGTTATGAGTACTTCTGTTTGGGCTTTAAGTACTACAGGAGCAATATTTTTCTAGTATCTCAGCATTTTCTCTGTTGCTTTTGGCAACAGCTGAAGTAGGGAGAGGCACAAATAAACCGAAAGTATGAAAAAGTATTTATACTCTTTTAATGCTTCATATATATACATATAACCTCCTTGTACAGAACATAAAAACTGAGGTTTAGCAAATTAGTTGGGTTTATTCAAGTTTTTGCCTCAGCCAGTGTTTTGATTGTCCAAAGCCTGCTTTGAACCTTTTTAACCTTCGAAAGTTCTGCCTGTTCCCGTGGAGACATTGCTCTGGTCTGTGCTGGGGGAGCACAGCTCTGATCCCAGTCATTGAACTGGAAGCATATGAGGCCCTGGTCAGTGCTCACAAGCTCTCCTGCTGCCTGGTGTCCCTCATCCTCCTCTGTCCCCAGTACATCAGAGCCTGGGCTGCACTCCGGCATGACCTCCTCACCTCAATCCAGATTGCTTTTGAAAAGCTTTGGTTGCAAAACTGTCCTCCTTTTGGTCTCTGGTAGTGCAGTCTGCTGCCCCCTTACCAGCTTGACCCAAAACCCTGTGGCAAGAAGACAGAAAAGCTGCGCTTGCCTTCTGTGGGCTTTGGGTCAAGCCTTTGTGCTGGCCTCAAGGCTTAGTTAGTCGCTCCCTTGGATTTGGGTGCCGGTGTGAGTGACGTTTAATCTACGTTGTAGTGCATCGTCTTTCAGAAGTTGCTTAAAAAGATTCCTTGCCCTTGAGGTTTCGTTTGTTTGTCGTGTAAATCCTGTAGGTAATAAAAGAAATGAGTTCACAAATGGGCTTTCACAGAACAAGTGCAAAGCAAACCCCCAAGACAGTGACTTTGCTTGCTGGCTTGCTTTTGAAGGACTAGATTTCAGCTAGTTTGAAAAAAAAAAAAAACAAAAAAAACCTATCAAAATTCTTCCTACTTTAAATAGCCTCCAAAGACTTTTTTATTTTGATTGAACATGTGCTCCTTTCTCCACCTCTGGTTATTTTTTTAAAAGTCCATCGTGGATGCAGTGTGTAATTCAAGAAATGGTGCAAGTTCCAAGCGTAAACCAAACTGCCTGAGCAGAGCCCTTGGCTCTGGCTGTGCGCACACCTAGCTTGTCAGCAGGGCCTACGTTACCGTTAAACTTGTCATCAGTTGCCTCTTCAGCAACGGGTTTAAAAATTATGCACAAGAGTGAAAAAAGAAGCAATATTATCAAGCTACCTATCCTAAAATGTGTTCAGCACAGATGATCTGCTTGGTCATTTAAAATCAGTTTGAGGAGTCCCTGAGGATCTTCTCTTAGGTTTGCAGAGTTGGTTACTCTGCAAACTGCCTTTTTTTTTTTTTTTTTAATATGTGAGATGTATGCAAGTTGGAATGTGCTAATTTAGCCAATGGAATTTTATAACAAACGTACGAATGCTGTGGGTTTTCTTCCCGCGCCCCCTCCAGCAGAAACATAATTTGCAGAAATGAAAACAGTCCCTGGCTGGCTTTAGGGTTTTCTCAAAAATAGAAACAGTAGGGTTTGTCTGGCTGGGCCAGTTTCCTCAGTACGCACCTGGTGTATATCACTTTAAAAAATAAATTATGCCTCATTAAATTACAATTAAATGAAATCATGATCATTTGTTTTTCTGGAAGGAAGATGTTTTTGCATATTGAAAGCCTAATTTGTTGCAGGTGACAAAAAGGCTGAAAAGATTATTTAATATCACTTTGGTTTTTTATAATGTTGCTCACTGGTTAGTTTGTGTATACTTCAGTAGCTCAAAATTGTATTATTGTAAATGTTATTGCTCTCAAGATGCTCTATTTTATGGTGCTACCCTATCACTCGGCTATCTCACCGCTGCTGTTTACCAGTGCTGTTGGTAGGAGGATCTTTAGTTGCAGGAGGACACGAGATTTTTCCCTCTGAGTCAGTTTTCTTGTCATCTGTCCTGCTATTTACATGGCTCTTAAGCTGGCGGAGCGCTCGGTGTGGCGGGGGGGCCGCAGCGTACCGCGCTCTGCGGCCAGGTTTTCTGCCTGCTCCTCCTTGGCTGAAGCAGGAGGTCTGCAGAGACTCGCCGGCCGCCCCGGGCAGTGCCGGAGGCGGCCGCGCTGGCTGCTCCTTCTCCTCCCGAGTCGCTTTTTCCTGTTGCAGGGTCCCTTGACTCCTTGTGAAGCTGTTGTCCCGTCGCTGCTGCTCATAGCCCAGCCCGCTGAACCGGTGTGGTTTACCCTACCGCCCCCGGTTGGTGCGGCTGTTCATCGGCGAGGGGACCCTCGGAGGAGGAAGGGGCCGAACGCTGGGGTCTCCGCCCTGGGGAGCCCTTCCTCTTCTCTGATCAGAGCCTTCGAGCGCGGGGCTGGATACCTGGGGCTGGGCCGTGTGGTTACTCCCCTTGGTGCCATGCCCAAGCCGCCTGTACCTGGCAGCCCCTCGTTTACATACGGAGTCAGTGACCAGGCTGAGAAGTAATTGCTGGCATGCTTTCACGTATGTTTCTGCTCTCCATTTTGGAAATTAGACCATAAATTTAGCTGGGCTGAGATGGGGGGAGAAAAAGCTGTCTTGGACTCCAGCGGCTTTCAGGTTCGTTTTTGTCAACCCAAACCCATGATTTTTTTTGGAAGTCATATTTTTCTTTAAAAACAGAGGAATTAATGTGTCCCTTAAAAGAGCCAGAAAATTAAGAATTTAGAGAATCTGTGGAACGGATATTTCATTTTTTATTGCCTTTGGAGAATTTTCCATTCACTTTAAGGGAAGATTATGAAAAGGATATGCTGCAACGATCCTGGAAGGGTTGACGTACGAGCCCTGGGTTCGAGCTTCTGTGCTGTCCTCCTTTTGTTAACGTCCCTCAGGCCGTGAGCCTGGCAAACTCTGGGAAGCTTTCCAGAACGCCCCCAGCTTCTCTGAGGTGTGGTGGACCGAGGAGCAAGCCAGCTACAAGCATGTGCTTCTGCCTTCGTGCAGAGAGGGGACCCACAGGAAGCCCCACCGACCGGCGCGTGGGGCACGGCAGGGTCCCTTTGCGCTGGCGGGCTGAACGCTGGCGCTCTGCTCGCGGTGCGTTCGGCTGAGCTTCCCGGGCCGAGTTAAAGCGCTGGCCCTCTGGCTGCTGCGCCCTGCCATGTATTACATGTAGTCCGGGTGGGCAGAAATGATCCCTCTCTGCCTCTTTGTACGCCAGTACGTTTCAACGCCTACTGTTCAGGAAACTGCCGTTACCACCTCGTGGAGTACCACGCGCGGTTGTCGAGGGGCAGATGTGGGGTGGTTCCTGCGAGCAGCTGGTGAACGCGCTGTGCTCTGGCGATGGCTGCGCGCCCTCATCCTGGTGCTCTGCGGGGCCGTTAGCTGCTGCAGAACTGTCGTGGGCCTGCCGTTACGCGCGAGTTTAATCCCATGGTTGATGTAAGCCTCTTTTAATACCGTTCTCAGTGGTTTTTTGGGAGTGCTCTCAGCTGTACTGGTTACCTCCTGGCATAGTGGCTTTTGTAAAAACTGGATAAATACAGTGTTCATTTGTTGTCATAGTGTGAGACCTGAACAGGTTAAATCCTAAAAGTAGATTCTAAGGCTTTATGATTTGCTGCAGTTTTCTCCTCTCAGAAATGACTGTCCAAACCAAAATGAACGAACTATAACATCAAAACCTAGTGAAACATTTTTCTTTATAAACCTCCTGCACTGTTTAAATGTCGAAACTAAATTTACCAACCTTGGCAGATTTGTTAAAGATGAACAGGACTGTCAAGTGTTCCCAGCTTTAAGTAGAGAGAGAGATCTAACAGCTCCTAAAATATTTGCAGCAAGCACCTGGTGGTAACTGCAGTTTCTTCTCTCCGGTGCACCTACCTTCCTATCCAGTACCACCGTGCTTAGATGGTTATTACAGTGCCAGAATAGGACAGTCCCAAAATAAACCCCAGCCCCCCGAAGACAAACACTTTCCTACAAAATATCCCCTCTGGGAGAGCCCATGAGATTCTGATGTCGGTTCTCAGTATTGCAACCCAGCTGGATACACCAAACAATTTAAAAAAAAAAACAACACATGACTTGTTTTCTTTTTTTAATTTTTTGAACCAGGGCTTGCTGTCAGAGATCCTGCGTAAGGAAGAAGACCCTAGGACAGCTTCCCAGTCTCTCTTGGTAAACTTAAGGGCAATGCAGAATTTCCTCAACCTGCCTGACTCAGAGCGGGATCGTATATATCAAGACGAGAGAGAGAGGAGTATGAACCCCAATGTGAGCATGGTGTCTTCAGCAGCCAGCAGCCCGAGCTCCTCCAGAACCCCCCAGGTAAGATGCGGTACCTCTTTACCTGTTGTCGTGACATCCTGCGAATTAGTCTTGGGAAAGAGCTCCTCTCGGCACTTCCCTCTCTGCTGCTCTCCTTGCGCAGGTGTGTTGTGGAAATTCTTCTGTAAGGTTTTGGAGCGGCTGTTAAGAGGTGTTTTTGTGATTTCCACAAGATATCGTGATGACTTTGAGCTTTGATCAGTACTATAAATGCAGAAATAATGTTTGTAACATTAGTACATAAAAGACTGCATGTGGGCTGTACACACAGGCTGGTGATATATGCCCGTTACACGGCTGTTACTGATATATTATGGAAAGACCATTTACATAATTTTTTGTCTTAAGTAGTCTGTGTCCATTCCATTCTGCAAAATGCAGAGAAGATTTCTGGGGAGATGGAGGGGTTCACATATATTGCAGTAAGAAGCATGTGGTGGACAGGGGTTCAAAGTGAATTAGAAATCAGGGTGCTCTGTTTTGTGCCTAGGAAATCACAGTCCTTGCTTTAAAGGTTTGTATTAGTAATTATTTGAAGTACAGAAAGTAGAGAGGGGCAGGGTGTTGAGAAGGAAGATGATGGTTGACAGTTCCAAACCAGCTGTCATCTCATTGACTTAACTGCACGTGTTTATTAACGTGCTGTTGCCACCCACGTCCCTGGATTGGTTGTCCCTTTGCGCTGAGAGAGAGCATCCACACACCATGCTGTTAAGGCGTATTCCCCCTTTTACTAGGCTGAATGCAGTCCCAGATGTGCACGCTGAAAAAAAGAGAGGGTGCTTGCACAGAGGTTATGGTCAACTCTTGTCGTGACATTTCCCTAACTTGAGTTTGAAATTTCTAACTGCACAGACCCGAGAGCTCAATTCTAGCACTTTGCTTGGTACTGAGCTTCCTTAGTAAGTGGGCCTGTATAACCCTCCTGCTTTGGTGCCTTCAGTCTTGTAGTCTGCAAAGCCTCTGAGCACTAGCTTGGGCTGTGCATGTGTTAGCTGTGCTTTTAATAGTATTACTGAGCACTTTTCGTATTGAATTCTGTAGCCACAGCAGCTAAAAATAAGTAAGCACCTTGGGGGTGATAGTTTTAAATGCAAAGTGATTATCCTTAAAGAAGATGTGCTGGCTTTGTAGAAACCATTGAGCTTGCTTGGTGTAACCCTGGCATTTGTCTACGCTTCACGACTATACATGATCTCAATAATTGTTTTAACTGAGAGCGATTTTCTATCCTGCCAGCCCAAAATTGGCACTGAGTTGTTATTACATGTGAAACTCATTGTTGTGTAGCTCTTATCTTTTTTAGCTACCTTCCTTTAAAATACAAATTTTCTAAAGAGAACTATTTTAAGTAGTGTAACCATATTTTCTGCATATATATTAATTCATGAAAGGATTATCTTATTAATACCTAGCACGATAGATCGCACAACTAGGGTTAAATAACAGAAGGGAATGGAGGAGTTAGATGCAGTGCAGTGAGAGTAAAAGTTTGATCTGTTGCTCCATCTCCTTTCTCTGTCCGAAGAAGACGTTTTCCTATATCCTAGCCTACAGCTTTACAAAAACGGAAATGTTGCCTTCCTTTGTAAGAGCTAAGTACTACTAGAAAACTGTACTCAAAAAGTGTAAAGCAACCCATTCTTGCCTGATTTTGGCGTGAGGAATCCAGTAGAATATTGGGAGATTTTCAGTGAGCAGAAGCTTTGCAGAAATCTTTGTGTACACGGTGCTTGTCTTGCGCCCGCCGGATAACATTCCCCGGTCCTCGGAGGGCCAGCACCAGTCAGCACAGGTGCTGTTTTGACAACTTGGACACCTCTGCAAATGAGGCTGCTTCCCAGCTCAGAGTCAGGCAGCACAGCTACTTTGCTTCCCCATATGCCTGGTATTAGTTGCAATAAGACAAACACCGTCTTCCTGTTAGTGCAGCGATTCCCAGGAGCGTTGCCTCCCAGAGCGGGTAGGTTAAACAGCAGGGAGTGAGGTGCTTTGGAGGCAGTAGTGGTAACTGAAAGGAGGAACTGTACTGTCCTTTCCAGAATTATGTTACAGTGCTGGAGAAGTTGATTTAATGGCATTTTGAAACATGGTTTCCATAGATACCAATCTCTTGAGGCAATACTTCCGGGAATGATTTTTTAGTGCGAGAGAGTGTTGGCATATACCACTGTAAATGCTGGTGCTGGGGCAGCCGTGAAGGTAGGCAGGAGGAGTAACCCATGTCTCTGTAACTCAACCAGCCCTGAAACCCGCTTGTGGGGTATCTCCTAAGTACAGTCAGACATAGCTCAGGACCTAGATGAAGAAGAGAGCAGCAGATTAGTCTAGCAAAAGGATTTGAGTGCTTTGGGGAGAAAATGCTGAGCTTTTGAAGGTTATTGAGAACATGTAGCTGGTTCTCTCCCCTCTGTGGAAAACCAGCAGCCACTTGTGGGATTTCAGAGCCCTTCCATGGGGATTACAAACGCAACCTTTTTTTTTTTTTTTTTTTTTTTAAAGCATTTGCAGTAAGACATTTCAATAATGGCAAGTCTTCTTGTTACTATCCAGAGTTGTTTTAAATCTAGGCACCTCATATTAAATACTTTGCTTTGGTGCCCGTGATATTTTCATTTGGTTCTTGCCCTGCCTGTTTTGGTGATTAAATAAAAAATGGCCCAACTTTCAGGGTGTCCAGTGCTGGCTGGTTTCTGACTTTCCGTTATGGAGCTCACAGGGCAGGAGACCCATGCAGGACAGAGCTGCAGTTTAAAACTTTCTTTTATGTGCTAATTTTGTTCCTCTGAGAATACTAGGCCCTCCCTTTTGGCCTTGAGGCCATAGGGATCTCACCTGCTGCACTAGCCAAAGGCTCCCTCGGGTGGGAAGGCTTCTTCTACCCCCTTTCAAGCACAGTGGTGCCTTAGGAGAATTAGGCTCTGTTCTCCATGGATCCTGATGGGCTTGGACAGTCCTCTTCCTTCCCCAGGATCTCCTTGTTTTTTTCTTCAGCCTGCCCACAATTCCCCTAACTCTTCCCTGTCTATGCAAACTGAATTTTGGAGCCCAGCACCTCTGTCAGTCTGTCCATCAGGCCCTGTGGACAGCGGTGAGCGTGGCCCCTGGGCTGCCAGGTGGCCCAGCAGGCTCCGGTCCACCCTGCTGCCTGCGTGAATGCAGGCCGCCATCCTTAGCAGAAGCAGAAAGATCTTAGGCCCTTTGGAGGTGGCTCCTGCGGCGACAGCCGTGCTGTCTGGGAGCTGGCAGGGAATGAGCCGGCAACGGCTCATGGCCGAGGTGGTGGCTGCTGCTGCGGGCCAGGGTGTCCTCGCTCGGCTTTGACGCTGCTGCGATACGGCTTCGTGGTTGTGTGCAGCCAGTCTGGGCAGCTGCCTGCGTTTGACCATCTAGGCAGGGCTTCAGAAAGGAGAAAAGATACAGGGCGCTTTAAGCTTTATCTGGAAGCCGTAGGAACACCAATTAGTCTAGATTGGTGTACTGATTGGGTTTTGACTTGGTTATTAATGTGGGCTTTGGTACAAGAGGGATGCTGCCAACAGGAAGAGTTGGGAGGAGAGCGAAAGAAAAGGGGAAGTTCAGAAGGTTTGATTTTGCCTAGTTAACCTTCCCATTGTCAAAGAGGCATTTGAGCACGTCTGCCCGGTTAAAAATTAACCTTAGATATACTGTATCAGCCTTAAACTCTGGTACAAAAACAGGGGCTAAGAAAAGGTCTATAATTGGGCCAAATATCTGAATGTCACCAGGCAGGGTTTGTGGGAGATTTGGATCTATCTGGGTGTCTGAGCTTTGCCACTCAGGATGTTTTGTTTCCCAAGATCTTTATGCCTCTAAGAGAAAACGGGCATCTTATATCTGTAACCTATATATTTCCCCTGAAGGCGCTGGGATTCAAGGGTGAGCAATTTTAGGTTTAAAGCCCAGGCTCGATCAGTCCTACTATCTCTTCTCTTTGACCTCAGGAAAGCAGATGAAATCTGTGGTTCTGAGGGACCGCGGCTGCGGAGGGGGATTAGCGAGCCTGCTCCTGCAGGGCCCCCGTGGAAGGGCACGGCGCCCGCCCCCTGCCGTCGGGCAGCGAACGGCCGTGCCTCCGGGCCTTTACAATAAAAATCTTTTAGCAGCCTGCCGAATTGTATTGATACGAGCCTTGTAGGGGCAGTCCAGCCTGGGGAAAGTACTGGCAACGTCCGTTATTGTCCTTCATTTGTCACAGAAGCTGATGGGAAATCATTCAATTAAAAGGAGTGCAACGGAATACACAAAATCTCAATATGAGTTTAGGAGAATGAGGGCAGCACGTCAAAGGCGTGCCAAAGCCCAGCTTTATGAAATGATTTTTTTTTCATTTCCACTGATTTCCTAGGTGAAATTAGGTGACTATCTGGCTAGCATAATGATGATAAGGCTGGGAAGCCATACATACTCAAATGACATACGTATAGTTTTAATAAAGGATGAGGGAGACTTGAGGGAGTGCATTAAATTGAGTAATAATTTATTATTTAGAGACCTCTACCCATTTACTCATTTTTTCTGGGAGAATTGGCTCTTCCTCGGAGGTGCAGGCCACTTTCAGCGCCGGGGGAAGAAGGCAGAGGCCAGTGCGTATGCCGTAGTAGGTAGCTGGCAGAGCAAACTTCAGCGGCTGCCTGCAGCCGCATGCCCCAGCTACCTATCCGGGGGTTGAGCTGTTCAATAAACATGCTGGGAGAGGGAGAGGGAGAGAGTTGACAGGGCCTCGCATGTCCTATAGGAATGCACTGCAATTATTTCCAATCACAATTAACCTGATTAGAATAATGGACAGGAAGTGTCCCTCTGTAGCTAATGCAGTTTGGCATCAGCTGACTGAAATCCTTTGATAATTTCTGCACAGATGGCTGGGCTGAAAGCAGCACTTTTTTAATTATTATTTTCATGGTCTCTTGGTAGGCCAAAACCTCGACACCAACAACAGACCTCCCCATTAAGGCGGACGGCGCCAACGTCAACATCACAGCTGCCATTTATGACGAGATCCAACAGGAGATGAAAAGGGCCAAGGTATCTCAAGCTCTCTTTGCCAAAGTGGCTGCCAATAAAAGTCAGGTGAGTGGTAGAGGGGATTTTGTGGTTGCCGGGCTTTTTTGTTTTTTTCATTTTGTTTTTAAGGCAAACTCTGGGGCTGGAACTAGACCCATCTCCTCCTCACACCAATAAAAATACATCTGTTCCTACAATAATAATAATCTTCATCTCTGGGGAACCTGTCATGTTTTTGGCTTTTGCCTCCTTAAATGGTTTCCTTTTCCCATTTAAAATAGGATGGGAATAGGACGATTTCACAGACGGTTTTTTTCCCCTTTAGTACAAACAGGCATATGTCTTTTCACACGTTTGGTATATAGCTTACACCTCGGTTAGTGGGGCAAGAACCTTCCAAAATGATGGTGTCCTCCTCATTTGGTGGGTAAAGAAATTGTTTTCTTAAGTGAGTAACTGAGAGAAGACAATGGGAAACTGCATCCTAGGCAGGTGTTTCCTTTTTTTTTTTTTTTTTTTTTTTTTTTTTGCATGTTGTATATGCTGCATACGGTATGGCCATGTAAATAATTTACATCAGGCTCAATCAGTTAAAAAAAAGAACATTGCAGTGAGTTCTCTTGGATTAGTTTTCACCTTTGGTGTAAAAAATATATGCGGGCAAACCTAAGCCAGGGTGAAATTCTTGCAGAGAATCCATTAATTTAAAAATTTCATCCAGCTCTTTAAAAAAATATAAGGTACCAGAAGGGATTTTGTGGAAAGGACAGACAGAATTTTTTGTAGGAAGGGCAGCAAATGGACTGGAGACCGTTGGAAGGAATTGTTTACTCTGTGTGAAAGGAGCTGTTTCTGATCCTGGATGAAAATTACTCAGTTGTGCTAGGAGGTGGCATCAGTATGCACACACAAATGCGTTCATGAGAATGAGAGAGAGGGAAATAGAAGTATCTAGATGCATACACTCTGTTAAATACATAATTTTATTTTCCTTTATGCAGGAAAACAATATTGTAGTCATTTAAATAGATGTAAAATAAGAAGTTGAAAAGCAAATAAAAAAAGCTTCAAAGGCTATCAGTGCACATAGGAGAGCCTTCTCCTTGTAGTTGTACCCTGGCATGTGGAGGTCTGATTCATTTTTCCTTTCCCCGTTTCATCATTATTTTTCTGCCTTTTGCTTTCTCTTGTCAGGTAACAGGGGCTACAGTCCACAACCCCTCACAGTATGAAATACATAAAAGGAAAATACCATGGAACCCTCTTAAACTGTTAAATGCATAAAAAATCTCATGTACCACATGGCAAAATGTAATGAGAACTGGAGCTGTTAAACGAATAAAGCTGTTAAAAGCATAATGCCACTTGGCACAACTACTGTGCATTTAACGGTTTTCCACTGTGTAATAAATGACATATGTGGTAAACGTGCAGTAAATATAAAAACTGCACAATTGATTTTGCAAACGTGCCCCTTATTCTTTACTCCATGCAGATATCAAAGTTCCACCCAGTATCCGGACTGGACAGCTTTTAATAAGGAGTGTTTAGCACAGACTGAATGCCAGCCTCTCTGAGGTTTGGTTTAAAATCGCTGCAAGCTTCCTGTCATTACAGCCAGAGGCTTCTTGAAATAGAGAGGGACTGAACCACCCAATAATAATTTGGGTGGCTCACTAGCTTCAGTCTGTGCCAGCCTGAGTGCACTTCTCTGGCAGCACTGCACACCGGCACCAAAACAAAAATATGGTCTGTGGTCTTTCACGTGGAAAAAGACAGAATAGGGCAGATTTTGAAAGCTGGATGCAGAAAGTTAAGAGCAGGATCCACAAATGTTACTGATTAAAGCAACATAAAGGTTTTAGTCCTTCAGCAGCAGCGGATAAAGAAGAATTTCTGAGGCTGATGTTTCTTTATTTCACAGCCCTGCCAAGGCAATACTGGCTCCCTGGGATGACCCAGCATTCACCATGCTGAGATGTCATAGCTCTCTGCTGGAGCATGAAAGTGGTTTATGGGGGCACGGGAAGGCAGGGACAGAGAGGCCATACTCACAGCCTGCAGCAGTTCTCAGCCTCCTCCTGGACCTGACAGCCCTCCGTGCGCCCACCCCTGCCTCACTGGGGGCACCCAGGAGAGCCCACCGCTGACCACGGTAGCCACAGCCAGGAGGAGTTCCAAAAACATGGGCACAGCTCCACATTTAGGGGAGAGACTGCTCTTCCCACGGCATGGTGGCTTGTCCAGCATAGCACCTTACATCTAGTTTGCTTAAAAACTAGTGGTGGGGCTTTCACAGCACTTTGTGCAGACCAGTTGTGCCAGTCCCAGGCACTTCCTGTGAAGATGCTGCTGATCTCCGCAGTTCAGTTACATGGCGGGGAGCGCTCTTGAAAACTCTGCCCGTATTTGTAGAAGAGATAGAGTTGGAAAGAGGGGGAAAAAGAGCCAGTCTGAGGGTTTGTTTGGACTCTCTGCCAAAGTTTGTTCACTCGTTGTTCTCCACAGGCCTGGCTTGCGTTGCGTTGGCTTCCTCTATTATTCCCTCACCCCAGACTACTGAGAGGCTTCCAGTTTGCTAACAAGGCATGCGTTATGTTGGGTGCTGCTGTTCTGTCAACAGCAATCCACGGTGCTGTGAGATCTTCACAGTTTCAGCAGCCAGTGAATCTCCGACAGGGTTTTGACGTTTTATACAGAGGGCTGTGTGTCATGTACCCAAGAGAGCACCCAGAGCCAATGGAGGCCTCATTTCATCTTCTGTCTTCGTACAGGAAGAGTGGTACCCACTGAGAGCAGTTATTGCGGGTGGCATCATCTACTGGTAGAGTTAATTGACCTCTAATTTAGAAAGTAGCCATCTTTATTCTTAAGGCATGGCATATTCTCAGTACAGCGACTAAAAGGAAGGAGAGCTGTTAGAAACTGAGGATATAAATCACGGAGCTCAGGAGTCAGGATAAATGCAAGGAACAGGGCCTCACAGAGGTACCAAGGTAGTATGGTGAGACCCTCCTTTGAGGGAATCAACCTTCATAAAAGTCTCAAGTCATTAATTTCAGACACTGACTTATTCATCTCTTATTTTCATGAATGCTTATATAGTCCTTTGCAACTCAAATTCAGGTCTTTTTAGTCTTGTTTGTCAAGTGCTGTGCATCACTTTGTCCTGTGGAAGGCAGCAGGACCTGAGGGTCCTCGGGGCTCAGCCTCCAAACTGGGAGCTCTTATCTTATTTTAGTTGCCAGCTGTTAGTGATGTACCCCCTGGATACTACGCTGCTTCTTTGAGTATGCCTCCTGGTCATGCCCTTTGGGCCTTAAATGGCAAAATTCAGGGCCCTAAGTTATCACATTGGAAGTATTTCTGAGTGTGGCAGGAATACTGGGGTTTGGCCTCCAATTTGTGCTTCAGGCTGTCTTGGTTGAATTTGACTCACAAGGAAACGGGCTCCCAGCATGCCATTTCGGAGAGGTTCGGGTAGCCTGCGTGTCTGCAGGGCTGGGCAGTGGGGACAGACAGAGACTTTCACCTCGGGTTGCCGCAGGTCTGGACTGTCTGCAGGAAAGCTGGCTTCTGCATTGAGGCCTGCAACAGCTCTACGGTACGGTGTTGGGAAAACCACTTCCCCATGTCCTTGTGCCAGCGCTGCTGTAACACTGTGCAGCAGCGTCGCCCCTCTGGCCTCTGCCAGTGAGAGCCCTAGGAGAGGCTCTGCTGTGCTCGGCAGACGGTTTTTCTTAGTCTATGTGAAACGAGTTTAGGAATATAATTCTGTTCATAATAAACAGTTAGTCACTATCAAAATAAATAGCGGGCATAGTTGACTGGAGCCCCTGTTGACAGTCTGAGGGAGGGCAGCAATTGTATGGGCATGGGAGACGGCCAGACTTCCCACGGTTCTCTCAGGGCACGAGGTCCCTCCTTAGCAGGGTCGGGGCAGCATGGAGAAGCAGGGCACATGCTGCTGGGGATCTGCCCTGGGCCGAGGCAGATGGACAGTGTTGACCTCCAACATGACCAGTCCAATGAAAACAAAAAATAACCCCTTTAAACTGAAGCCCTTCCTCAAGGGACTGGAATTTGTTCCAGTTACACCACAGCAGAGCAAGAGAGACCCCACTGAGCAACATTTGAGAAAACATTAAGCTGTGAAGCGCAGTTTCTGGTTCATATCTTTGCCCTGTTTAAAAATAAACAAAAAATAAACTTGGCCAGGGGGAGCACGAAAGCCCTTCAGGTAATGAGGTTAGAGAAACCCTGGACTGTGGGTGGAAATCATTGCAGCTGTGTGGCAATTCCTCACCTTTCCTGTGACTTCTTTCCATATTGAGACCGTGCTGCATTGCCAGGGTCCTCTGGGGCCCTGTTCTCTGGCAAGGGGGTGGGCGTTAGCCCCGCTGTGGGAACCCACAGTCAGACTGCCCTTACCCCCTGCACGTGCTCTGCGAGTCCGGGCAGCGCGAGATCGATGAGGCGGGAGAGCTCTGGAAGCACCTTCTTTTGTCCTTCCCTCTCTTACCAATTGGTAATTGCTTATTTGGCATGGTGGGATGTCTTTTCTTCCCCTTTTACTTTATAACAGATATTTTCTGTACCTTTAAAATAATTAGCTTCCAGTGAAGATGAACAGCAGCTAGAAAGATGCATCTGGCCCGGAAGATGCGTAGCACGTATAACATATGCATACAGTGCATTTCCTATTGCTGTAGCATCTCGGGGCCTGTACAGTGCTTGTGAATGTCTACAGCTGGTGCAGATCTGCTGTTCTGATACTTTGATTTTCTTGTTACATGTGCTGGACGTAGAGCAGGACATTTCTCTCCTTGATTAAAGTTAAAACGTCTTAGAAGTACCTTCAGGCATTAACTCCTTTACAGACCTCTACGTATACTCACAGCTCGACTGCCATCCCTGACAGCAGCTGCAGTGGTGCATCAGCCTCTCCCAGCAGCTCAGCAAGGCAGGGAGAGTTGGGAGCCAGGGCTTTGCCTGGGGAATGTTTGGCCGAGCGGGCAGGGAAGGCAGGCGGCTTGCCGTGACCCTGAGCCCAGGCGTCCTGCCCA